GCCAGCCAGCATCTTACCCACTTAGCCATCGTGATCTCCCCAAAGTTGTTGTATCAAAGGAAAGGGGCGGTGGAAAAGTCAGTTGAATTTCCGCCGATTGCACGCCCCAGTCTCTATCCTTCCTGCGTTATGGAGACCGTCGCAACCGTTCAACATAACCCACGGAACTGGGTGGGTTGAAGGACCCCACGATTATTTATTTAATGGGACATAATTTTCTTACTCCGTCGGCGCAGATGGGTATATCCCCTGGTTATTCGCCCTGGTGCAAGTGTTGCAATTGTGCGATGGTCCCTTAAAATTCAAAATATTCAAACAATTTCGCAACAAAACTATATTTACATTACCTGGCCACTGGATAAATGTAAAATTCTTATTATATAAAAATACGGATTCATTATAACTGAATTAATAGTTAATGAGATAGAAAGCTTTACTATATTATTAAACTGAAACCCTTGATCAATATACCATATTGGTGTTTGTGGTTAGTTACGTGATGTGTACGGTTGTACGTGACAAGGAATAGGGTCGCCTGTCCAACCTCGTGGGTTTTCTCTGGGTCCTCCGGTTTCCTCCCACTGCTAAAGACCCCTACTTGCAAGCGAATTATTGAAATAAAATTAAACCATAGATTAGTCCCGAAATGACCTAGTTTGTGTCGAGTGGACGTTAAACCCCATTTCTCTCTCTCCCTCTCTCTCTCTCTCTCTCTCTCTCTCTCACGTGATGTGTATTGTTTGTTTTGTTTTTAATTGTCTTTTAAGAATTTCCTTTTCTCTGGATTTGGTCAGTATTTTTGGGATTGTTTTAATTGCCATTACGATAGCAACTTATTTATTTTGTGGTCTTATTCGTATTAATAATGTACAACTTTAAACGATCCTTTTTTTTAAAATCGAGATGGTCTACCGGTTTCTATACTGTAACAAATGATATTACGATGACAACTACCAGAATGAACTTGTTAAACATTTAAATTAAAAATTGCGTATTTGACCTTACTGTCGAATCATCGCCAGCAATAAAATTATTAGTGACCATAAGTAATTTATCAGTAGCAGTGGGTGGATTAGACCACCGTAATACCACTTCTCATTATTTATTTATTCGGGAATTTCAGATAGCTATAATCAAAGCACAGCAAAATGTATTATATTAATGCATAAACTATAAGTGATTAAGTTGGATAGCATTATTAAATTGATATCATTTCTTATCACGTTGGTATCATTTCTTATTATTTATTTATTCGGGAATTTCAGATAGCTACTTTATGTAAGATTTAGATAAAGAGGTAGCCATAATATTTCGAAAATAGATGATGTAAAATGAATAATTTGAAAATTTCATTCAAAATACTCTACTGCGAGCGAAGACGTGTGCAATAATTTCAATCACCGTACTGGTTATTCGAAGCTATGGCTCGCTCCTCCGTTTTTATCTTAAATCAAAATATGGCTGAACTGTTCTGATCTATTTAATATCGGAGAAATCCAATGCCAGTTGATTATGTCCTGGATAAGTTAATTAATGTCTAATTAATAATTTAGATAACATTTCAGGCCTAAAGACCTGCAATAGGTAGATTTAGCTCTTGCATAATGTATGTTTAAACTATAAATTCTTAAGTTGGATATCGTTTTTAAATTGATATCATTTCTTATCACATTGGATATAATTATCAATTCTTGTGATACGGCCATGTCTATAACGTATTCAATGGGAGTGTATGATCGAGTTTGTGACTATTCAAAATACATTTCAACATTTGAAAAATATTTTAACTGCAGTTATATATAGTATTTAAAATTAGAACTGAAGATAACAAAATACAAATGGAATGAAATGAAAAGGTTAGCTTTCTCACAAACTATTTCTAGCGTTTCAATAAAAAAATTTTTTTTATGAATATTAATGTCACCATTTACATGGGGAGTAATCAAACGGCATACGAGTCGCCAACACGCGGAGTCGAACTTGTACCACATAAACGTGAGAATTATTTACCGTTCAAGATCGTATGTAAACAAAAGAGGAAACGTTGTTTGCCGTATATTTGTTGTTTTCTTTGTTTTATTTGTTCTTATATCTTTCTTAACAATTTTGACTATTAGGGTGGTTTGGGGCGGGGCAGCAACCACTCGTTCACTGTCTTTTAAAAACAAATTATGGATTAGCTTAAGTTTCAATTATTTATACCTTTGTCAACTATACGTACGTACATTTGATTAAAGGAAATATGCTTGCATGTTTTGGCATTTAATTTTAGCAATTTATTTTCATTTGTTTATACCTTTGTCAACAATACGCACGTACATTTGATTAAAGGAAATATGCTTGCGTGTTTTTGCATTTAATTTTAGCAATTTATTTTCATTTTGTTATACCTTCGTGAACTATAAGTACGTACATTTGATTAAAAGGAATAAAATAAAGCATGAAATATCGAATAAACTATGGTTATTGATTATTGTGTTTAACTACTTTAATATATTAAAAGTTTCTTACTTTATGTTTACCTTTAGGATATATTTACTAATGGGGTCGTAAAATATCACTCGAAAAATCGCGCTAAATATTTACTTATATAACATCATATCATTGTGTTTGTTTATTCAATCTTGAATTTATATTTTATTAATATTTATTTCAAAACATTAGATACTTGACACAAACTTAACCCTCTGATTTTTATTTGGTATTTTTGTGTTTTTAGAAAATATTGTGATATTTAAATTTAATTTGTTTATACAAGATTGTATACATATTTTATAAATGTATATCATTTTGAAATATGTATTTTGTTTGCGTATATATATATGTGCGATTTATACACATAGGCGGTGGAACTACAACGAGAATAGTGATATTTTCATTGAGGAATTTCACCTTTTAAGATGTGGTTTCAGATCAAAATTTTAGTTGTAAAACAAACATGACAATATTATAAAAAATCAGTAAGTTAAACATGTAAAAATTATTATCTGAAAAGAACCGACTTCTTGAATTTGTCAAATGTGAAATAAAGTTATATCAGTAACAAGAATTTGTACATAAATTACCCCAATAAAGATAACAAGGAGATAACGGGGTTTATTGCAAATAGTTTGTAAAAAATGTGAAAAAATAAAGTGAAAAAAAAAATGTCCAATTTTATCAACATAGATGAAGATAGAGTCGTTTTTATTTCGTGTCAACATTTCAATAACTGATCCAATTACTATTTTAATATACAACCGGTGAAGTTAGCAATCATATAAGCGTAATTTTACGTGGTCGTTATTACATCATTTCTGAAGTTAATATCTTTAATTTCTGTTTTTTCGTATCAAAAATCTGCCAACATTTCTACCAATATCTGCTCTAGCCATTTCAGCCACGTGAAAAAATATTTTGTCAGAAAACAAATAAAATCATGCAGACTTGATAAACGGTAGTCGCCATGTTACAAAATAAGAAAAGTTTAGCTATATTGCTCAATACGTGAAACGAATACATGTCAAATAATTATAAAAAACTAACCAAAAGGGACGTAAAAAGAGGCCTAACCCAACAGAAGTTCTCTACATTTTATCTTTCAGCTTTCATACGAAATAAAAGATAATAAATAATTGCATGTCGTGCTAAATATGCTTGAAATTCTCCATAAATCTGAAAACATGTTGAATACTCAATAAAACAGTTAAACATGTTAAAAACGTGAAAGCTGTAAAAATACATGTTTCTAAATGTACAATAATAGAAATAAACACGGGGCAATTAAAATGTCTGCTAGTTTTTGAATCTAGTTGATAGTTCACCTACATTTTAAGTTACACAACTATTCGTAGTTACTGTCAGTTTTAGTAACAAAATACCACGATTTTTATATTCGTACGTAAAATCTCTTTAAGATTTGAAATTTAACTGTTTAAATCAATTTGTATTACAACGTAGTTTTCAAACAAGCTAAAGTAAAAGTAATAAATGTATGTCGAATTGCGATGATTTATATTTCCGTAAATCCAGATTTATCAAATCAAAAAATTAAATTTAAAATGTCAATTTTATTTATTCACAATAAAATCGCAAATCTAAATTGAATGCGTAACACTGCTTGAAAATCATAGAATCTATGCACATGTTAAATTAAATTTGAAGTTTTGTTAATTAAAATTCTTCGAAAAAATTACAATTTTCTCTTAAAATTAAATTTTATAGCTATTTCGATAATTTCTGCTATGTCGCTTTTCGTTCTTAAACACGGTATCTACTACCAGTAATTAGAGTCTACTTCAAAATTGTATTCTTTAATATAAATAAACATTACATCGTAGAGTTTTCATTGAATTTAAAAGAAAAATATTTAGAACATTTCAGTCACAATTCTGTTTCATTTGAATCTTTATTTAGCAGGTGTCCGTTTCACTGAGAAAATATATAAAATAATACAGCCCATGTGAAAGACATATTGCCTATATAAAGAAATGGAAGAAACATATATATAATCCTAGGCGGTAACAGAAGTAAAATATGTTTATCGCGATATATACTTTTTTTTAACATAAAAATCCATAAAAAAGGTTGTTAATTTTCGTCATCATGATTAGAATATCAACAGTTTGATATTTCAATTTCATTGTGTTCTTAATCAAACCGTGGGAAAAAGTAAACTTTGCCGAACTCACGACGTAGCGAACGTTTTTCCGAGCCCAAAAAGTGTAAATTTCTAGCCGAAGCTTGACTGATTTCGATAAGAGGTAGGTAGCGTTTGATTAGCGGGAAGGTTCTCATGTCTTGCGATTCTCAGTTCGCGTATCGCTTACACCTCCCTTGAGGGCCACTTGTCACGTAACGGATACTTGACTTGCGACTCGACGGACGGAATAAACGGTGTAATATTTCTACCCACGGCGTATACACATTCGGTTTATATACTGCCTTTTTTAAGTAAGAAAAAAAATACTGATATGTCAATGAAAAATGAATACTCGAGGGTAGATGTAAGAATTACTTACTTGACTTGATGTCTATGTCTAATATTAAAAGTCTGGGAATCAATAACGGTTCCTTATAAACCAAACCCCTGCCTGGATCTCAGTATATTATACCACACGCATAGATTCTTCTCGGCCAGCTATTCAAAACCAAAATGGTTATTACGCAAAGAAACGGAATGTTAAAGAATATCTTGGAAATTGCTATCTGTATTTATTTAGTTACTTTTGAACTACGCGACCTCCTAAAGAAGCTTTGATGAAAGTAGTTTATTATTAAAAGCAACTGAATTTTATGTCCACAATCTGAGGGAGCTCGCATATGGCAAGCTAGGTGTTATGGCGAATGTTGACAGTAAAAACTTTGGCAGTGTGTTCTAGTCAAACAAATCCCCGCATCATATATTACTTCTAGCCTTCCTCTATCATCTTTAAAAGCAGTTTTCTGTGTCGATATATTAATAACAAACTTCTATTTGATACTGTTTCCCGCGCTTCGTATTAACCAGCCTAAAAACAGGATATTAAATTTTTCGGGTAATAATGTTTCAGTATTGATATTTTCAATTAGCACCAACTTTATTAATTTTCATGATGATGCTTATCCGGTTCTGTATCAATATTTATAGAATGCTCTTTTTTTTTATTCTTTCTTTTGCTTTGTGATTCATCAACAGTGAGAATTTGTTTGGTTTTTAAGCTTTTAAATCTCAGCTCGTGTTTGTTTATTTCATTAAGAATCGAGTAATTATTATATGACTAAGTTCTATTATGTGGCCAGTTGTGATTTTAATTGTTGATTTAGAAATTAGCCAATCTGTTATCCAATGCATTGATTTTAAAATGCTTAAATTTTGGCGGGCATTTGGAAGACATAACCTATGGGTGTCTTCCTTTGTCGAAATACTCTCGCACTCTAGCATTAACATTTTAAAGATATTTGTATTTATACTCGTTGTAGTCGCCCTTCTGTTGAATGCTGGAAAATGGCAATAACATCCCATCTCCCAACACAGAAGCATTATTTTATATATTCTGTATTCAAGACTAACTTAGTTTAGTCTAACAAAAATAATATTTCATAATATATAGGCCTTATAGTGTTTTATGAAACAAAACAGCCCAAAACTAAGAGTCCACAAAGTTTGAGGGGGACAGATGTTCTTAGTAGCTACGCCCTTTTCAATGGTACCTATATCCGATTCCATGTCGGGTCAGTCTCTTCCGTTTTATTTCTTTACCACCAGTTCGGACATCAACAAAAGTTTATATTTTACCGATAACTGATTATTAATATTACCTTATACGTGTATTGAAAGAGCGGCGACAGGTGGTCGCTGATAGTTATCCCCCTTGTTAGCAGCGCCATCAAATAGTGTAGTAAATAAATCGATACGATAAATATTATTGCTAAACATAATCACTAGATATCTGTAGATACAAGTACAAAAAATAAAAACAAAAACGTTTTGAAAATTTGTAGAACAATAGTATAGGAGGGTTACGCAAACAATGGCGAAACGCTAAGAGAAACATTATAACACGGGAACAAGGAGACACGTTGCTAGCTACCAATCAATCCATAGGTGGAAAAGATGTACATAAATATTTGTCACACCTTAAGAAAATAACTCTTCTTTGTTGTCTTTTCATCCAGGCCTCTTTCATGTTTTAAGCTAATGACCACGTGGCTATTGTTTCACGACACTAATATCACGTAAATTAATATCTTTCCTAACTTCTTCTGTGAAGAGTACTATAACGATATGTATTAAGACACTTCGTTCATTAGTCACTGATCTAAGAACAGATTTACGAGCTTTGTAGTGTTCTCCTTGTCAATAGGGTACTGATGATCCCAATAACTTCAACAACTAATCCATTGATCTCAACATCGTGTGCGGTATTTCATTTCAGAATTTAGGGATTAATTATTAAATTATAAAATCAGGGAGTTACTTCGGTATGATTTTGCTCTTTTTTTAACCTCGAGACAATTGAAATTATAAGATTTTATATTTTTATTTCATGAATATCACATTCATAGCAAATATTGCGAACGATTATTCATTAAGAATGTCGATAACGGTTAAAACATGCGTGAACGTCAAATATATCTGTATTATTTAAACTGAAAGAGATAACAACCCAGGTAGCGCACAAAATCTAAATATAAAAAGTGTGTACTAGTTTTCATAAAAGACTGGATTGGTTTTGCTTATTTAATTTTAAAAATCTATACACAATTGCTTTTGGTTTTTAAGGACTACCCGGAGGACAGATCCCTCATAGCACACTGCATAACGTACACATGTCTTCATTAGCCCAGATTGGTTAGAACAGTAGAGTATTACAAAACCAACCCTAATTCATTTCATTTCATTTGGTTTTTAAAGACTACCCGGAGGACAGTTCCCTCATAGCACACTGCATAGCGTACACCCGGATTGGCTAGAACAGTAGGACAGACCCAACCCTAATTCATTTCATTTGTTTTTAAAGGGCTTAATGGACCAGATCAGTCTGTTGTTATTTTGAAGATGATATTATTCAAAATTGATTATAGTATGTACAGGTAGATTTATTTTCTTAGCGAGGGTGAAAATGCCCCTTTAAACCAACCGAAATTTTCTTTTTGTCTCTACTCTAAACATATGATAAACACCACCCTAGTCTTTACAAATTGTTAACTTTACTTTTCGAAACCTCAATATAATCAATTATTATAAAAGAATTATATGTTGGCGTCTCCGGACGTCATTTAAGGGATTGGTGAATCACCTGCAATATTGGGAAATTTGAATCTCTAAAAGGCATATCAGTCCGAAAATGGTTCAATTCCGTACAGAATTTGCAAAGATATGATGAATTGAAAATTCAGAATCTTCCACAGACGATATAAACTAGATGACCGAGTGTGCAACCATAGCAGTATATGACTTTTTTAATCGCGTAATAAAAGAGATGTTTTATTCATTATTGTGATTTTGGCCAACCTCATTCTGATTTGAGAGGTATGAAAGTGAGTTATGTGCTTTAAAGAGTGAGTTACGCGGTTAGTAATCTAAGTTGAAAAAAGCACGATAGATTTGGAGCCTGATTTCACCCCAGGTAAATTGCCAAAAGACAATTGTAAAAGTACTTATTTCATGTACATCGGTTTGTTGTATCCATTTTTTGGTAGAGTTTTCATTTGATACCAGTCGCTCTTACTTGTTCCAGCTAGGGTAATTAAATCTCTTGCATATTGAATTATGTGTATATGTGTGTATGGCGCTTCTGAAGTAACCAGGAATCCCGGTGTTGGCCGAGAAAATACCACACGGATATGCTAGCTTGGGTTTTCCATTTTCAGTGATGCCAGACGGCGGGCCTCGCATGCAAAAGCGAGGCCCCTACTATACCATTGGTAGCCCGTTTGGAAATCGAAATAAGAGTGGGCCGCAGCTCTTGTCTCAGGGCGCTTCTGAAGTAACCAGGAATCCCGGTGTTGGCCGAGAAAATACCACACGGATTTTCTAGCTTGGGTTTTCCATTGTCAGTGATGCCAGACGGCGGGCCTCGCATGGAAAAGCGAGGCCTCTACTATACCATTGGTAGCCCGTTTGGAAATCGAAATAAGAGTGGGCCGCAGCTCCTGTCTCAGGGCGCTTCTGAAGTAACCAGGAATCCCGGTGTTGGCCGAGAAAATACCACACGGATTTTCTAGCTTGGGTTTTCCATTGTCAGTGATGCCAGACGGCGGGCCTCGCATGGAAAAGCGAGGCCCCTACTATACCATTGGTAGCCCATTTGGAAATCGAAATAAGAGTGGGCCGCAGCTCCTGTCTCAGGGCAAATTGTCCTGCATGGTGTATGCCCGTCTTCGTTTCCTCAATTGTTTGAGAAAAGAAGGACGTTCATTTACATTTTCAATTATTGTATTTAATTGTTTCATAGTTTCGACTATATTCTTTGAGTGGAAAAACACTGATGGTTGCCAGGCCACGGTTTCACAAAACATTCTCAGTCTTAAGTTAAGAATTTATTCAACATTCAATCTCTGATTAGGAGAAATATCTTTGATTCAGAAACACACAACTTTGCAAATAGTTTCGTATTGATGTATTTGATACATTAGAACAACAAAATTTTCATAAAGAGTTATATTTTGGGTAAAATAAAGCGAACAATTTCGACTAAATTCTTAAAAACCGGGGCCTGCTCTTTTGCGTTATCGGAATTTAAATACGACTGGTACCAGCACCAGAAACTGGTAGAATGTTGTTTGTGAACGCCAGATAAAATATGTATGTAAAATGAATCCAGTATGATATGATATTATAATATATCTATTAACAAGAGGTGGTCTGTCAATCTGTTTTACCTATTACATATTGAACACAACATTAAGAACCGCTACATGTGTTTTGAGACCATAGAACACCCCAGGCTTTTTAATATGTTGTTTTGCTAGCTTTATAAATGCGGCATATGGTTCAAAAATGAGAGCCCCATCTGTTTCAAACCGGAATCTATATTCAACCACTATATACGTAATAATGAACTTAGTTTTATGTAACTTCTGTTAAGAGTTTATATTTCTTAGCCAAACAGACAGAAATAACATCCACTGTAAAATTTATCATTTTCTCGTCCATGTGCGATCAACCATCACACGCCCTTATCCTAGTGTGAAAGGTGGCGAGGTTTTTGGATTTTTCTTGATGTAATTACCCACTATAAATAGGTTGGGCATTAACTTTAGAGGTATTATTTGTTTTTATCCCAGACATTAAATCCTGGGAACCTGGAACCTGTAAGAGATGTGTATGTAAAATTTATCAATTTCTCCTCCATTTGCGATCAACCATCACACGACCGTTTCCTAATGCAAAAGGTGGCGAGTTTCTTTGGAGCTCTCTTGTTTTAATTACCCACCACAGACAGGTTGGGCATTAACTATATAGGTGTTATTGTTTCTCCCAAAACGTAAATCCTTGAAATGCAGTTACCGAACTTGGAACCTGGAGATATTACCCCACGTGTGTATGTAAAATTTCTAATTTTCCTGACCATGTGCGATCACCAATCACACGCCCTTCTCCAAATGTAGAATATTGTGAGGTTTCGGAATTTTCTTTCTGTAACTACCCATCATAAATAG